GGGGGCTGCATATGGCATGGGAATGGGGTGCTGTGATGTCTGCCTGCTGCAACGAAGGGTGCCTACACCAAAGGCTGTAAACACGTTATTCCCGTTGTAGAGATGTAGAAGGCTAAGGAGAGGCTGGGTCAGCTCACCAAAGACAGGAGGCTGAGACGGCTGAACGGAATGAACCAACTTCAAAATGTCAGGGGGTCAGAGGTGGCTAAGGCCCCAGGCTCAGTCTGGGTAGGCCCCAGGGAGGGTTTTAGTCCCTAGGGGGCCCATCTTGGCCGCATAAAAAACAGTCTTAAAGAGAGTTTGCTTGAAGTCAGTTTGGTGGCTTAACTAGTTCATGACACATGCAGAATTTACATAGGTGACCTTTTTGCAGGCAACATTCCCATGGCTACCACATTTTGCCCCCCGTTAAGGCCTGCATGCAGTGGGAGCTTCTCGAACCCAAGAAATTTACGGCCCTGTTTCATCTACCAAAGTCAGGCTTAAAGTTCTGTATCATCTGGTGCCATCACCAGTCCAGGGAGACCATCACCCTCAAATTTCTCAAAGAAGGGAGTGTAGGAGCCATATATGAGCTTTTCCTTTTTTGGATTAAGAGGGCTGGTTAAAATGCATGCACTGTATTGCTGCACGTTGTGGGGCGTGACTCATGGGTGTGTATTAGATGAGGGGCGTCAAACTCCAGGCCTTGAGGGCAGGTGTCCTACAGGTTTTAGATGTGTCCTTGATCCAACACAGCTGATTCAAATGGCTAAATTGCTTCCTCAACATGTCTTGTACCACTCCAGAAGCCGGGTAATGAACTAATCTTTTGATTCAGTTGTGTTGACCCAGGGTGATATCTAAAATCTGCAGGACACCGGCCCTTGAGGCCTGGAGTTTGACACCCCTGTATTAGATGATAAATGCACTGTGATGCACCTGCTGTTTGATGAGCAGAAAGGTAGGGTGAGCATGAGGGGAAACTTTCCTTTGACCACAGCTTGATGTATAGTTTAATGCACTAGTTGATGCCGTAGTCTGATGTTGCAGTTTGGCATAACAATTGGTGTAGTATTTTGTGAGTTGCAGTCATGTTTGTTTGTGCAGTCTGTGCATTTATATTACTGGTTTGTGGGTCTTCAACAGTACAATGTGGAATAAAAGGAACAAACAGCTCAGACGTGCATTTCATGCGTTGATCGTTGTTCATCGTCAGTGTCCTCAGTTTAGCCTGCCGTGGTTGGAGGAGCTGCAACAATTTGTGAACAGAAAAGTTTGTTCGTTTTATTGGATTATTTATATATAGATCAAGTTTTATTGGTGATCATGGTTTTCTGTTGCCATTGTCCATGCAGCCTGTAGATTAAGCCTGTGGCTTCACACAACAGATTTCTTTCGGGAGTTATTTATTCCCCTGTTAGGTTTCAGCAGTATAGCT